TGTGAGAAGGTGGGGATTCCTGAAAGGTGCGAAAGGACATGAAGTAAGGTTGGAGGTTGTTAACACTTACAAACATAGGGCTCGAACAAGAGAAATTTCTCTTTATGTCCGCTCACGTCGCCTCACCTTGCACAGCCCTGCGGAGCTGCGAAATACTAAACATGACTTAAACACAGCATCAGCTGAACTTCGAAGGAAAACGTGGTATGGCTGAATAATGCCGTAATCCGCCTTTACCTATGCCTACCCGCAACGCAGCCGTGTTCCTCTAATCGGGCAAGATTCCAGTTGGCCAACTGCAAAGCCAAAGGGCATTCCTTCAGACAGCTCTGTGGCGATACGGGTGTGATGCCTTAATGCTCGGACTTATCTGCCAATCCAGTCAAAGAGGAAAGGATTAGACGCTATGACTCGTCACTGATGCGCTTATTTAGAATGGTAGTGAAAAAGATGACATCTTTCAAAATATTTTCTTTGTCCGAGGGCGTTGAGAGGTAAAATCAAACTTTCAACCTTTTCGCCGAAAAGCGCATGCTCCTATTCAATTCAAATTAAGAGAACTTTTTTTTTGCCAACGCTGTAAAAAACCGATAGATTCAATTCTTTATTATGAACAGAGTGAACCTCTCCGAAGGAGAGTTGAAGCACTGGTCGATAATAATTCATTATTTCAGAGTAGTGCTAGTCGAATTTTGCTGCGATGCACTCCCAATCTGGAAAAGCTGGATACATCGTGTATTATGTGTTATATGTTTTGCATTGACATGAATTTAAATCCGAAGATTTAGTTGCTCTAGGTCTGAGCAGCGACGATTGAGCAGAAGTTCATCAAAGCCGATCTATAGGGCAACCCGATAGTAGGACCATTTTGCGCTTGCTTAAAAGTAAGTTTCTTCCTTTTCAAAAGGCGGCGATTTGAGTTCGAAGTGATTTTACAAAAATATCGAGAACCCAAGTTAGTATAACTGTGAAATGAATCTTTCAAACTTTTTTTTTCAAACGATTCACACAAAATTATATAAACTTGCGTGCTGAAGAAAACTGTTCCTTACTAGTTTTCTTCTCTGCAACCGTTCTGAAGATCTCACCATCTAAGGTGGAATCTTTTGCACCTTCACCATCTTCTTGAAAACAAATTTTGTAACTTGGGGTATAATAGATCAGTTCGACCATCCCGTGACAAAAAAAAAAATTGTGGACTGATTGGATCGAAGCTCGAAAAGTAGGCTTGCCCAGTATTTCGGTTTATGCATAGTTTTCTACCTACGCTATAAACAAGATAACAGGAAGCCGCAATTGTGGCTTCATACGTTCATGGAGCCTATGTTGTTTACATCAGGTTATATCAGCTTATATAAAAGCAGTGAGCTAAATGAGTATGTTCCATATGACACTACTGCGCAGCTGACTTCCTTTATGTCACAAGATAAGGTTCTTGTTTGATGAGTTCGCTGAAATTTCAGCAACCTTTTCTTTCAGGACAAAAGTGATGAGAAAGATACTGAGAGCAGGGAAAGGACCACCTTCAGACCTGCACCAAAAGAAGAGAAGAAGAAAATTACGAAAATAAGAGATTCGGAGGCAGGAGGATTGCCTAGCGTTAAGAACGAAGACTTCTTCCACGGTTTCATGCCACGAGAACAGGTTTGATCGGCTAGTACAACTTGCATTTGAGAGTCCTGGCTGAAAATACAGAGAACGGATGAGCAAGCTTCCAATGATGCATGTAAATGGTGGCCTTACATCAAGTAGGCGACGAAGTTCGCTGAATTCCAATTCATAATCGGATGAAATGGACCGTTTGCCCCATTCTATTCGTGCAAAAATGTAGTTTAGCCAAAGTTGTGTATCGCCCCGTTTCTCAAGTTTTATTACGTCGAAGTAGTGTGAGTAAAAAGAGCGCTAATTATGTTGATAACCGCGTCGACAGTATATATGAAAAGCTCTTCTGAAAGCAGCAAAATGAACTTTAAAGATCTTGACTGCTTGCATCTCTCCTCCTATTTCGTAGAATATATTCACTTTAGATTGTTGAGCTGGACCAGTCGTATTTTATCCGTTTTATTAGAATGATTTGTAGCCTTTGAAAAGGCTGTCTGCTGTAGAATTTATGCTTAGATATAAGAAATTTTTACCGGAACCATCACAACGGCGCAGTTTTTGAAATATTTTCTCATATGACACTACATCCTAAAAAACCACAGAATTCTTACTCATCAAAGATTAGCTTGCGACTCAGATAGCTTCCATTCTTGAAAAGCTTTATAAATCAAAAAATTTTGTATAATTCACTTCTTCTGAACAAGAAAAACTCGAAGTTTTGGATTTCGCTTAAGTTTCGCCAAGTGTTGATTGACATGCTGGGAAATCCATAACGTATATGCATTATTATCGAGGTCGTGATTTACGATAAGAGATAGAAATCTCCTATATATATAAAGCAAAAAATCTGTACGAATGTATGTATTATGTATGTATGTTCGGAACACAAATTTTTGTATCTGAACCGGAAAAGCCCAAATTTTGCACACATACATTACAGACGCCGGCGGGTACCATAGGCTATTTTGTACAGTAGTTAGACGTTTGATGGCGTTGATTTGCGCATT